ACTGGGTACCAGGGAAGAACGATAAATGTAAAAGATAAGCAAGGAAACCTGATAGTGGACGAAGACCAAATTTGTAGAAGGTGGAAAGAATATTTCGAAGAGATGCTAAATGAAGAAGTGACTACTGAAGAAAATTGTTATGTTTCTAAACCTGAAATAGTAATAGAAGAAATACCAAAGCCCACAAGAGGAGAAATTAAAGAAATAATAAAAGATATGAAAGATCAAAAAAGCCCCAGGGAAAGCGGCATTGTGGCATAGAACATAAAATATGGAGGAGAGGTCTTAATAAATGAACTTGGTGAGCTAATGGGATGCCGAAGAAGTGCCCCAAGAATGGAATAAGTGCCCCAGGAATGGAATATCCTTATTAGAGGTAATTTATAAAATACTCGCCATACTAATTAAAAAACGATTAGAAATATATATAGAGAAGAATCTAGGAGCATACCAGGGAGGATTTCGGAAAGGAAGATCAACAACAACAGCTACATTGGCCATACATCGCAGTGGCTAAAACAACGTATCACACAGCACAAAAGTGATTGCCGCTTGGGAAAAAATAGTTGTGCAGTAGTCGAGCATTATAAAAACACCGGTCATCTGTTGGACTATAACAATGCTCGTATTCTGGCACAGACTGACAATTACAAAAGTAGGTTATTTTTGGAGATGTACCACATCAACAAAAATAAACAAACTTTAAATTATAAAACAGGCACGGGGCAATTAAGCAACATATATTGCAATATATTGAACAAAATTTAAAACTCACTCACTTTAATGATTAATCATACTAACTAGCCTTAATGATTAATTAAAGAAATAATATTCCTCTAATGTTTTCTCATATTGTAAGTTTTTGCATTTTAAATAACTTTTACTTGCTTTCCATCTCATTTACAATCTAAGTGTACGTCAGTTTTTTGAAATGTTTGTTTTTTACAGTTACTCCTGATGAAGCTTTTAAATAAAGAGCGAAATATTGAGTTTTAGAAAAAAACAAAGATTTTTATTTAATATAGACCACATACCTGATATTTCCAACATACTGATATATATATATATATATATATATATATATATATATATATATATTAAAAGGCCAAATAAAGCGATAGCGGCTCTCGCTAAAATATTTAATCTTACATATATATATATATACATATTTTTTTTTCTTTTGTCTATACGTTCCTCAAAAGACAACCAAATTTTCAATAACTCTTCCATATAAAGCGACCAGTCAGTATATTTTGATTTGCCCTTTTTTCCATATGCTTTCTTTTTCTTCTATATACAACTTTCCCAAATTCTTTGGGTTTTTTGTCTATCATTTTAAAAATGTTCTCTAGCTCAGATGATCTTCGTATTAACAGAAGTAAATCATCAACATACGCAACCCTGTACTGTCTTGGATAATCTCTAGAGCCCTTACTGTGTATTTCGTTTTTTTTTTTTTTAATTTTAAGACGACGTTGAAGACAATTGTAGATAGCGGGTATATTTGCTTCAAATCTCTATTAATAGCTAAATACATTCAACTCAGTCATATCCTTACTTTAATATATATTTTTTTGTTTGTCTTTTGCGTTATGAAAATTTTTGATGGTTTTTCCCCTCTTTAAAATTTTGCCCATATATTTTGTTTTTGTTGGGTAGTTATTTGTATTTGACTAAATTAATAAACTATAGTTATAACATTAGTCTTTATTTAATTGTATGTCATTGACGAATATGTGCATTGTGCATTACACAGTATTTTTTATTTTCTCATAAAATTGATCATTCTATAACTGATTATTTCATCCTCAATAAATCTATCTTTAATTTGGTGTTTTAACCTATCCGCTAATTTTAAGGCTGGAACTTTACACCTTTATTTAAAATATAAATTGTATGGTTATATAAAATAATTTTTAATCATCTACTGTAAATGGCACTGGTTAAGTATCTAGTTTATATATTTTATATAAATGTTTCAGTATTATAAACCTTTATTGTTAACAAATAGATTAATAAAGTATTTTGAGCATGAAATGTATTTTTATTTATTTTTGCTGTTAGAGTCTCAAAATATTCTCTATAAAGCTGGTTTCCAAGCAGTTTTCGAAACACTTTTTATATTTCAAACAAAATTATTCCGATAAATGTATTTTGACATGAATTTAAAATAATTACTAAATGGCAAATCAGGACTAATTCGCAGATGACTGTCGATTATTTACACTTCTAGCATTTAAATAAATATTACGTTTATTTTCAACACGTTTCAACACGACTTGTTACAAAAAGCTATTGGCCCATAACATTTGATTCTCATTTAAAGAAAATTGGCAATTATACGTTTTTCGATATTGTTAGCAGTTTTGTTTAACGCTACTTCACATTCTACACCTAAATATTCTAAAGTTCTCTCATTATTATGTTGGGGCAAGTTGTGTTTAAATCCTTTCTCTAAAAGTTGTATCTCGCTATTACTAAATTGAGTATCTGTTACATTTATAAATCTATTGAAAAAAGTATGGAAAAAAAATCTTTTTCCTAGTATCCCTCCTACAGAAACTTTTATTCTAGTAAAAAACCTTTTAGACCAAAATAGTACAAATCCAATAATTACATCTGAAATTTTACATCTTCTTGAAGTTTGCATAAACCAGGACTACTTTGAATTTAATAATCAATTATATACAAATAACAGTGCAGGACTTATAATGGACAATCCTCTTTGCAATCAGATATTTTTATGGATCATCTAGAGACAAAGATTTTAAAACATCCCGTATTTAAACAGTTTTTATATTGGTGGAGATACGTAGACGACGTACTAGTATGTTTCACAGGAACTAACAGGCAACTCGACCAATTTTTATCGTATATTAATTCACTTCATAGTCATATTGAATTTACAATAGAAACAGAACAAAATCAATCTATAAATTTTTTAGATTTAAAAATTATCAGATTTAAAAACAAACATGACTTCTCCATATTTCACAAACCTACCCATACTGACACGACTATACACAATTCATCATCCCATCCAACACAACATAAACTGGCAGCATATCATAGTATGTTACATAGATTAACAGAAATTCCGATGTCAAAATACAACTTTGAGACAGAATTAAATATAATTAAGCAAATAGCAGTAAACAACGATACAATGAACAAACAATTAATAAAATGTTAAATCAAAAACTACACAAGAAAGCCCTGAAATTAGTATTTCCACCACCAGAGAAAAAACCCAGTACCTTCTGTTCGATTACATATACAGGCAAAATTACAACAAAAATAGCCAAAACATAAAAAAGAAAGGAATAACACCAGCTTTCCGAACAAATAACAACCTAGGCAAATATATCAAAAACAACAAGAGCCAAAATAAAAAACACTTACACAGTGGTGTGTACAAAATTAAATGTGGCGACTGCCCAAAAACTTACATCGGTCAAACTGGTAGAAACTTTAACAAACGAATAGCAGAACATAAAAGGGCTTTCAATAATAGAAAAACAGATTCTACATACGCACTTCACCTTCTAGATCACAATCATTCTTTTAACGACGAATTTAAAATTCTTCACATTCAAAATAAAGGCCTTAAGCTATCCTTGTTAGAATCTATGGAAATCAACGAATTAAAAAACACAGATATAATTCTGAATGACCAACTTGAGACAAACAGTTCTCCCCTCCTCAACCTATTTCATTAGAGACTATAAAGTGTAAACGCATGCCAAAAATAGATCACTTGAGAAAGGCAATCAGCCGAAACAGCTGTAGTGATAAGAGTTAAAATAAATTTTTGTGGAAGTTTAAAAACAAAGTTTTCAGTGTTTTATTGTTACATATAATATTTTTAATTGGATCTAACCTTATATTAGAATACCTACCAACATTTTGGACGTTATTAATATCCAACGTGTATCTAAAATTTCATTTAAACAGAATTCCAATTAATCTATTTATCAAAATACAATAGTCTTAGTTAAAAGCGTGGGAAGGCCAATTACTGAGTGGTGTCCAAAAGTATAATCATAATTCACTGGATCATATATTTGGTTAAGCTTTGATATAAAGGTTTTATACGCAAAATATTATTTTCTCTTTTTAAGTGACAGCTCCACGAAAAATACATTAAGACACGTTTTTAAGTGTTCTTTCTTTTCTAAGTGTTCTGTCATAGAATTTGAATTAAAATAAATGATATGTAAAATAGAAGGAAAAATATTAGATAAGTAATAGTTAATACGTACATAATATATATATATATATATATATATATATAATAAGTATATTAAATTTTCAAATTATATTAACTGTAAGTTGATGGAACATTTTAATTACAATTAATTTTAAATTAGATTAAAAGGTACGAACTATACTAGAATGCCAATATATTCTGAAAGTAAGTAAAGATCAGTTCAAATCTTTTTTAATTATGTTTCTTGTCTGGTCTGCTTGATTGTTTTTGTAAATACTGCGGCAATGATAGCTGGCTTCTTCGGATGGTAAAGAAATTGAAGTATCAGGTCTTGAATCAGATGATGAATAAGAATTTATTCTGTAGGTGTTCTGAACATAGAAGGGCTGCAAAAATGAATGAACAAAATAACGAAAACAAGTAGAACATATGGACTGGATATAAACACCACCAAAACCAAACTAGTGATCATCAGCAAGGAAAACATAACTGGAAAACATAAACATAACAAAAATTATAGCTAATCTGTATTGGAACCAATCAGCGGTACTCCGAATAGATGGAGAATATACAGAACAAGTCAAAATCTTAAGAGGAGTGAGACAGGCGTGCATAATTTCACCACTGATATTCAATCTGTACTCGGAGCATATTTTTGAAGAGGCCCTAAAAGATATTGATTAAGGCATCTCAATAAATGGAGTCAAGCTAATAACCTGCGGTATGCAGATGATACAATAGTGTTTTCCAATATCATAGAAGGGCTGCAAAACTTAATGAACAAATAACAGAAACAAGTAGAGCCATGGACTGGATATAAACACCAGCAAAACCAAGCTAATGATCATCAGCAAGGAAAACATAACTGGAGCAAATCTGTACGTCAACCAAATGAGAATTGAACGAGTCTCACAATACAACTACTTGGAAACTATAATCAATGAGTCGTGGGACCATACCCAAGAGATTAAATATCGCATCGGTAAGGCAAAAAGTGCATTCTTGACTATGAGTTCTGTGTTCAAGAGCCATGAGCTCACCCTAGAAACAAAAATAGGGCTCCTAAACTGATACGTGTACTCAGTGCTTCTGTACCGAGAAGAAACGTGGACATTGAACGCGGACACTCTATCAAAACTTCAGGCTTTTGAGCTATGGTTATACATAAAGATCCTAAAGATACCTTGGACAAAGTCACCAGTGAAGAAGTATTACGAAAAATGAACACAACCGCGGATTTGGTCAACATTGTGAGGGGCCGTAAGCTGCACTACTTAGGACATATAACGAGAAATCAAGCAGATATCTTCTTCTTCAGGTGTCATCTCCGCTACGAAGGTTAGCAATCATCATAGTTATTTTAATTTCTGAGGCAGTAGCTCTAATTAGTTGTTTTGAGCTGCATCCAAACCATTCTCTCAGGTTCTTAAGCCATGAAATTCGTCTTATTCCGATGCTTCTTCTGCCATCTATCTTTCCTTGCATTATGAGTTGCAGGATGCCATACTTCTCGCCCCGCATCACTTTTTGCACTTTTTGCACGGAGAACAGCTGGAAACTTTTCCAGCTGTTCTCAGTGCGTAGAGGTTTTCTCCCCGGCTCTGGAACTCAATTTTTACAATGTATGTTACCTGAAGTCATATCTAATTTAATACTGAACATCACAGTTTTTAAACAAAAAGATGTATAATCTTTTATAACTATATGTAATTTAAAGGGTTTTTACCCATGTATTTTGGTGGATCAGGCATTTTAACCTAGCGATTTTAAACCTGATGATGGACTGTTTAGTCCGAAAACGTTTGTTTTTTTGATGTAGCCCTTTTAAGGGTTTTTAAATAAATATACCCACTTACCAAGACTAACCTCTTTTTTTGTGATACGTGGTATACAGCCAGCTACAGGAATTGTTTTCCTTGTGGATTTTGTATTTTTTTACTCTTTCGATCTGCTGGCCCTCTACTATCAAGATTTCGTTGGTATTACGGTTGTTGTTACAAATTTTCATAAACTTCGTGGAAAGTTTCGAACGTAGTTTTGAGGTTCGAATCGGTTTTAAATGCCCCTTTGTCCGCTTCTTGTCGATCGACGATGATAAATATAATAAAAGGTTGAAGTTGTGCAGTAAAGTGTTGATTTATTGACAGCTACTGTCAATAAATCTAAAATAGTTTTGAGAACCAGTGCATTAGAATTACTTTATTATATATATTCCCTGTATAAATTTCATTTAAAGCTAAAACTTAATACATTGTAATTCAATTAAAACCAATTTATGCTAAAAACAACATCAAAGAGTTATAGGCATCAAAGGATTTAAATTAAAATTAATCGTTAGTTCGATACTTGGTGCATATAAATAAATTTTTATACATAAAATAAATCTCTTTCGATTATGTAGATCTGAATTATATAACTATTACACAATAATTACTGTACTTTTGATCAATTACATTCGTTAAAGAAAAAAATAATATTTTTTTTATTTTAAATCCTTACAACAATATATTATGGAACAATACATGTAAATTTTGTTTATGTACCACAAAACATTAGTTTATTTGACTATTTTGTTATTTTCTCGCTTCTATGAACGACCCCGTTCATAATGTACCAGTACTGAGCAACGGAACCTTCGAGCCTATTGTGTACCGGTGTTCTAAGATTAATTCTCTATACTCTAGTTTACTATTTATGGTACAATGCTTTGTGATGGATGTACAATGGTTTGTGAAGACTTATTCTCGTATATAACCACTACCTTTACCTTTTTAAGACGTTTGTTAAATATACATAACTTTAACACCACAGTGACTATCACACAGTTTTTATGAGTTACGCGACTACAAACCAATGTCGGTGACCATGATATAGTTTTGAGCCTGACTATATCACAGTCTTAAATCACATAAGATTTGCACATGATGTTGTATTAATCGCAGATAATTTACAAGATACTGTTTCTATGATGCATTCGCTTAGAAGTATGTCTGAAAGAGCAGGATTAAAGATAAACTTTGAGAAAACTAAACTTATAATAAATCTCGTAATGAGTGGAAAGATAACTATTGACAATAATACTATAAAATAAACAGACACTTACAAATATCTGGGACACGAAATCAAAATAAGCAGAGACAATCAAACACATGAAATACAGAGGCGAATATGCCTAACTTGGGCAGCATTTGGCAAATTAAGCTATATTTTAAAAAGTTCAATTCCCATGTGTTTCAAGCGAAAGGTTTATAACCAATGTGTTTTACCTGTACAAACTTATGGAGCAGAGACTTTAATACTCACGCAAAAATCTGCGAATAAACTCAGAGCTACACAACGAGCCGTGGAACGTGTAATGCTGAACGTGAGCCTTCGAGACCACATAACAAACCAACAAATTAGGCAAAGATCAGGAGTTCAAGACGTCATCGAAAGAACTACGTCGCTTAAGTGGAACTGGGCAGGGCTCTTAGCCAGAGCACAAGATGGACGGTAGACAAGACGTATTATGGAATGGAGGCCCAGAAACTATAAAAGAAGCCGAGGACGACCACTGACTAGATGGACCGATGATATAAAACGTGTAGCGGGAAACTGGCTACAAGCGGCCTAGTGTAGAGAACACTGGAAAGAACTCAGGGAGGCGTATGTCCAGCAGTGGAGCGATTGGCTGATTGATGATATCACAGTAGCCAATAAATTGGGCTGGTGAATTTCTCTGTAGCGAAGCCATAAACACTAGAACAGAATACGTATTAGAACGGTACATTTCATTATTTATATAATATGAGCCTAACTAATTCACACTATTTCTTATAAATAAAATCGATAATAATTGCAGCTATGTTTATACTCTTACAATTAAACCAGAACAAACCCAAAATAAACATCCTACAAGTTTATGCTCCAACTGCAAACAAACCAGAGAGCGATATTGAAACTTTCTACGAAGACCTAGACAATATTTTAAAAACCAATAAAACGCAAGATGTAACAATTATAATGGGAGATCTTAACGAAAAGGTTGGGGAAGAAAAAGTAGAAGAATATACAGGAGATATGGTCTGGGCAACAGAAACGAAAGGGGTGACAGTCTTATCGAATTTGCCAAAACAATAATTTGCCAAAACAATAATTTTGTTATAGCTAATACAATGTTCAAAATGCCAAAGAGAAGACTATATACCTGAAAGTCACCAGCAGATCAAGAAGAGAGAATTGTAAGAAATCAAATAGACTATGTATTAGTTAGACAAAGATACAGGAACGCAATTATATCGGCAAAAACCTATCCAAGTGCCGACATAGGATCAGATCGCAACCCAGTAGTGATCAAAATTAGGCTCAAAATGAAAATAATAAAACAAAGAACAACAAATGAAAAAATCGATACAAGTAAACTAAGAAACCCACTCGTAAGGCAACGCCTGGCAGATGAAATCAACAACATTAATGAATATTAAAAACAAATTCTGCAAAATACTGAGACGGAGAAAAAATGGTTATTAATTACGACAGAAATAGATAAAAGCCAAAAAGAGATTCTAATACCAACCAGATATAAAAAGAACTTTTGATCGAAGATCGAGATTCGAGAAGATCGAATATGGTAGATGGAACAAAGAAGTCGGAAATTGGCGACCGTACGATGCGAAGAGACCAAGAGGAAGACCTCAAATGCGCTGGAGCGACGATATCAAAAGAGTCGCAGGACCAATGTGGAAACGCCTAGCACACAACAGGGATGAATGGCGAGAAATGGGAGAGGCCTTTATTCGACAATTCGGATAGAAAAAGGGCTATAAAAAACTAAATAAAAAGAAGTAATGGATGACGGAAGAAATTTTAGATTTAATAAAAGAAAGACGTCAATATAAGAACAAAGATAATCAGATGTAAAGAAAGTGGATAAACAAATAAAATACAGAATTAAAAAAGAGAAAGAAGAATGGTTAAAAGAACAATGTGCAGAAATAGAAGAATACCAGAAAAGGCATGATAGTTTTAAAACACATAAAAAATTAAAGAATTAACTCACAACGAAAGAACAAGAAAACCGGGAAAACTGAAAGATGCAAATGGACAAATTTGTGTTGAATACTAATGACAAAGTAAAGAGATAGACAAAATAAATCAATGAACTGTTCAAGACAATAGAACAGAACAGATAGAGATATAAGTAGAAGAGTATATGGTTTTAAAGATATTAGAACAGGAAATTAAAAACCTAGAAGCGTTAATTGCTTTTAATGTGTTAGCTCAAAGAGGCATGGATATGAATGTTGATGTGCATGTTTGTTACGTTGATTTTGAAAAAGCCATGAAAAATCAGTCTAAATTCTAAAGACAAGAAACATAGACCATAAGGACTTACGAATAATAACAAACCTTTACTGGAATCAAAGAGCACAAATCGTAATAGATAACGAACCCAATCCAGAAATTGAAATCAGGAGAGGAGTTAGGCAGGGATGTACTATGTCTCCATTACTCTTTAATGTATATAGTGAAGCCATTTTTGAAGAAGCTTGTTTTTTACTATCTTAAAGTGAAGGAATAATAATTAACGGAAGATCTATTAACAACATAAGATATGCAGATGATCCGTGATTATGGCAAGCTCTGCTGAACAACTCCAATTACTTCTAAACAAAACAAAGAGTTTTTGTGAAAAATATGGACTAAAAATGAATATAAAAAAAACAAATATATGATAATAACAAAAAAAAACAAATATACCAACAAACATACATTTGAGAAATGTACCGATAGAAACGGTTGATAAATACAAATACCTAGGAACCTGGATTTCAGACAATAATGATCAAATCACCGAAATAAGAGCTAGGATAGAAATAGCAAGAAATGCGTTTGTAAAAATAAAACATAATTCTCTACAACAAAGATCTTAGATTAGAACTGAGAATAAGAGCACTGAGATGCTACGTGTTTTCGATACTGCAATATCGACTTGAAAGCTGGACATTGAAGCAAGAACACATAAATAGTTACAGTCCTTTGAAATGTGATGTTACAGGAGGATGCTTAGAATAGTATGGACACAGAAGAAAACTAACACGGAAGTATTGCGAGAAATGGGCAAAGAATGCGAAATAATAAACACAATAAAAATAAGAAAGTTACAATATCT